ATGCAGAATCAATCAGATACTTAGGGGTAAACTTAACAAAGGATATTACAAAATTATTTGATTTGAATTATAACCCCTTAAATTCCCAGTTGAAATCCGATATTTCACGTTGGAAGGTTATCCCTTTTTTGAGCTTAAGCTCCAGGGTGGAGTCCATTAAAATGAACATTCTGCCAAGATTGCTCTATCTTTTCCAAAATCTTCCAGTGCCAATACCAACCAAACAATTCATAGAATGGGATATGATGATATCCAGGTATTTATGGCAGGTGAAAAAACCCAGGATCAGGTTTGAGACCTTACAACTGAGTAAAGAGAGGGGGGGTATGGTTCTTCCCTCCTTAAGAGAATATTACTTGGCAGCACAGCTGAGGCCATTGATCTGCTTATGTACCCCAGATTATTCTGCACGTTGGAAAGAAGTTGAAAATGCCTTACTAGAAGGGATACCTATTGAAGCTACTATTGCAGATAATGAACTTTTAAATAAACAATTGAACATAAGCAACCCTTGGTTTAATATATTATTGAAAACCTGGCAGGAAATTGTAAAAACTTGTAATTTAAATGACTCAATTAAACTACTGCGATGGTGTGCTTATGACACTGACTTTATTCCAAACAGATCTGATGGCAGATTTAAAAAATGGGCTGCTAAAGGCCTAACAAACTATTACTCATTTACTAAGGAGGGGACATTCCATAGTTTTGAATTCTTAAAGAAGAGATACAATCTTGAGCAAAAGGATTTCTATAGATATCTCCAAGTTAGAAACTATTTCAACCAGAATCTGAGACCAAATGTAGGTAAAGTAGAAACAGGAATTCTGAAAATTCTTTTGTCAGTATCAGAATCTCCGTGTACTAAGATTATCTCTAAACTATATAAAGATGTACTCCATCCCAAATCAGGAAATACGTGGTATATAAAAGAAAAGTGGGAAAAAGAAGGCAATTTGATTATAACAGAGGATGCTTGGAAAAGAATATGTCTCATACAATGGACTTCAACTTGCTCCACTAATTGGCGTGAATTCTGTTGGAAAAACGTTGCTAGGTTTTTTATTACACCTTTACAAAAGAGATATGGGGGAGGGGGTTCCAGCTGCTGGAGACAATGTGGGATGGACGACGCCAATCATTATCATGTTTTCTGGAACTGCCCAGTCATTGTTCCTTATTGGCAGGAAATCCACAAACACATTAACAATATATTTGGAGTCAATATTCCTTTTATTATGGATACAGTTTATATGGGAGATATTCAATTTGACGGATGGAGAAATAACGATAAAAAGTTGGTTCTAATTCTCCTGGCTGGAAGCAAAAAAGTTATTACGAGAAATTGGCTCAAACCCCACTTACCCACTATAGATGAATGGATAGACATTATTTATGAAATTTACATAATGGAGCGGCTGTCATATTCCCTTCAAGTCCAGAAAGATAGATTTTACAAAATTTGGAGCAAATGGACTGAGTATGTTAAACCTATAAGACCAGACTTTTCTTAAATTATTGGAAAAGGTCAGGCAAACAGTGTTGTATTGACCCAGGTAATTTTTTGTGACCTTTAACCTGAACTTTTTATTTTGTTAAATGGATGTACTGATATTCTGTTTCTTTACCTCTCCAATGTGAAGGCCTCCCGTGTTCTTGTAAATAATTCACACTTAATGTTTACATAAAGGCTCTAAAACATCTGAAAGAGCTATATGGAGATATACTCAGATGATCTGTGACTACTTATTTGATAATGTCATTGTATACATATGTTTTATGCTGATTATTTTACCTGATTATGACATTGCCACTTATAAGTGCTCTTTCTAAATAAAAAAATTTAAAAAAAAAAGAACACAGGGCAGAGAAAAAAATAATAAAAGGGGAAAAGTCAAGAAATAATTTGACAACATGAATTAAATGTAATGATAATTTCCTTTTAAAATGTTAAGATAAACAGCTCTTGACAACATGTACTTTAGTGTTCCAAATCTGTACACCATGATTTCTAAGGGAGTACTGGTCATTTTTGATTTCGTATAAAGGAAGGTGGAGCTGATTAACCTAGTATTATATGAATGAATTTGGAAATTAAATTTAAAGAAATTGCTACATGATGATGGTAGAAGAAGGTAAGAACATATATTTACATATAAACACACACATTTGATGAATATTTTTATCATATACTGAAAGAAGGTTCAGTTTCCTTAACAGTACAACAGAGGCTTCATTGAGTCCATGTCATTGGTTCGACAGCCCATTGGTTCGACATCCCATTAGTCCGACTGTCCGCGGTGCTGAACGGCTCGCGGCGGGCGTATGGTGCGCCGCAACTGGCTTGAGGTGGAGCAGGCTCACGGCTTATGTGTTTGTCACTTTCCTTTTCATTTTAACCCACACCATGATCTTTTCCTGACCCTAACCAAGTGGTTTTTGTGCCTAAACCTAACCAGACCTTAACCACAGGGCATCATGATGATTTCGGAACAATGAGTTTGATATGGTCGGAACAATGGGATGTCAAACCAATGGGCTGTCGAACCAATGGGCAGTTCCCGGCTTCATTAAGGCTGGGGAAAGTTGCTAATCTTACAAATCATTTTTGCAGTAAAACTTGGTAATTTGCTGATGATCCTCAGTGACTTCACAATTTTCTTACAAATAAAATTCACGTTTTCCAATTTAATCTTTCATCAACTAAAAGGCTTAAACGTAAGTGCTAATATCGTAGGCAACTGGACTTGCTTGCGTTTCTGGCAGGATTGTCGGGTTGCAAGGGTTCCCACCCACAGGGTGTATAGCCTGCAACTTAGTACCAGTCATTTAGAACTGAAGACGCTTCTTGGATGAGAGGCAAAACGTCTTGAAGAAACACAAGCAAGTCCAATTGCCTACGATATTAGCACTTAGGATTACCATGACCTGGATGACTGAGAATCTTCACCGACAAATAAAAGGCTTAAAGTGTGAGAAACTTCTTTTCTATCTATTGATACTCTAGCATAGTATCATACCTATCATGCCTCCTACTACTCGATCCAAATATAATGAAATTTGATTTTCTTTAACATTTAATGAGAGCTTATTGAGTCTAAACCATCTTGCAACTCTCACCATTTCCTCATCTTACTATATCTTACTATATAATGACGAAAACGTCTGTGTGTGTGTCTGTTCCACGTTTTTCTCCTCACTGACTTGGTCAATCCATGTGAAATTTGGCACAAGTGTTTGGTAAAGCCTAATGGGAGGATGCGAATGAAGCATTATTACATCAATTGGCCAAAGGGGGGCGCTATAGCAAACGACTGAAATTGCATATTAATAATTGCACATCTCATGCCCCGTATGTCGTAGAGACATGAAACTTTGCACAGAGACGCCTCTCCTCATGAGGAACAAATTTGCCTCAAGAACCCATAACTTCCAGTTATATAGATTTTCTGCCATTTTGAATTTTTTGAAAAACACTTAAAATCGATCTCTTCCTAGGAAGTTTGACCGATCTGCATGAAACTCTGTGAACATAATGTAGGGACCAATATCTAAAGTTCCCTCTTGGCAAAAGTTGGAAAACTTACTAACACTGAGCTTCTATAAGGCAATGAATATTGTGGAGGGCGTAACTCATCACATAAAGGTGTATAACATCTCAAGGGTTTCACCGATCACCACGCAACTTTGTAGCGATATGACCACACATAATCTGAGGGGACCCCTCCATTATTGACCAGATCAAACAAAATGGGGGCGCTAGAGAGCTAATTTCTTATCTAGGCCTAACCGCCATATCTATTTTTCACTAAACTTGGTAGATATGTAGAACAGTACGCCTCAACTTGACTGGAGAAATTTAACTCTAATTGGCAACTGGGTGGCGTTATAACAACAGAAAAATGCTTAAAAATGGCTAAAATGCGGCCGATCGCTGTAGCTCCCCCTGTGGCCAAATGTTTTTTTGTTTGTTTTTTTCTATTTCTAATTTTTGGTATGACTAAGTCATGGTATGGTATGCTGCTGCAACAAGGACTAGCCACACCTTTCCCATGTGAACTACCAGTGCGCCCCACTTTTAAGTCAATACAACATATAAACACTTTAACTATCTGCCTTTCCACGAGCTACCTCAACTAATAATGTACACTTTTAGCCCACTAACTATCCCACTATTGGCAATGGTACTACTGTATTTTCAATAAAGCAATCGTACTATCAAATTCACAAAAACTCTGTCTGAATACATTGCTCTTCTTAATGGGTTCAGTTGACTATTTAATCTGCAATTTCCTATGACCTGTATCCCAAACACACACCATGTGAAACTGTACGTGGGTAACTGTGCACTCAATGGGTATGGACTAGTGTAGTGGGTCTAATTCTGCGTTGTGTTATGTAGGCAAAGACACACTCCGGAATGCTCACAGGTTTTCTCATACATGCTCTCAGTGCTCTTTCTGGGAAAAGTCACGGAGCAAAGAGAGGATTATGCATGATAGCATAAACAAAAATAAATAAAACGCAAATTACATCAACTTCATACCACGCACATACCTGCATTATAGAGAAGAAACATTCACAGGGGTTCACAGGTTTTCTCATACATGCTCTCAGTGCTCATTAACACCATGAGGAAAGTCACTACATGTCTCCTGTTAACAACCAGTCTCAACAGTACACTCTAGCGTGACAAGCTACGTAGCAGCCCTGCAGCACACACAGACCGCGACAACTTCTCCTCTAATTATCAAGCTTACGCATGAAAAGAAACAACAGAACAGCTCCACAACATAACACTGTGACTACACCAGCTTTACAAGTATTTTTGAGTAACTTACATTCACTTTTACAACAAAAACCATGAAAATACGAAGAGAAGCAGAAATGCTTACACTTCTGAGAAAAGTCACGGAGTAAAGAGGAAGTAAACCGCAACGAAACGTCGTAAGTGCAGTTTTAGAAAATAAAATACTCACTATACTTCCGGTAATAATCAGAACTTTTCCCTAACATATATGTGTTTATATGTGTTTTTTAACATATATTTGTTTGTGTTTGTTTTATGAACATTTATAATAATACAGTTTTCTCCCAGCATATCAACAAGAATCCAGGAATAAAGAAAAACATGACAACAAAAACGCTACCCTTCAAAATAAAAGTTCGCGCTTCCCTGCCTTGTTCATAATATGGCGCAACAACATCACACCATATATTTATTATAGTGTGTGGGCCAGTTTGTGATGAATGCATCACTAATTATCTAGTAATATAATTCTGAAATGTGTGTTTTGGCACTTTAAGTACATTTTGATGCTGATGCTTTTCTACTCAAGTAGTTTTTGAATGCAGTATTTTTAACCGTAAGAGGACTTCTACACTGATGTACTGCTACTTGTAGAAAATCTGGGTACTTCATCCACCACTGCTCTTAAGATGTTTTTTTAGTCGGTTGTATGTTTACTTACTTCAGAAGAGATACTTTTATTTTGAATAAATGACGGACCTGAGCGGAAGTGTGATGCTGTAGCTCCTGGCAAGGGAACAACATTTATTAGCTTGCTGACAGTGTGTAGGAATCACACACTTTAGTTCTGTGGTGTCTCCCTGCTGCACACATAAGTAAGTACCTAAATCCAACAAGATTTAATTAACTGTCTCATAAACTGTCTTCAAGCAGGGTTAGACTAAGGTCGCTAATGGAGGAGAGTACCCTGCTGTCATGAGCCGTAAGCTAGCTAACTCAGGCTGTCACATTCCAAATCTTTATTCGTTTACACAGTGTCTGATATTGTTTGGGAAACAGCCAGTAGTAATGTTTCTAAGAGTGTCCCTGTCCTTTTGTATTTTCATACAAAAGTATGCCTTTGTAAATGTTTGACCAAGAAGCTAATGCTATCTTACGTCACAGGGCCAAATCAGATCGAAGGGTTTGAAATAGGAAGAGAAATATGAATGAAGCACGTAGGACAGGATTTCCATCTCAAGTTTCTCAACAGAAGTTCTGTTACATGTCATATGTATGAGTTGTGTTGGTTATGTTCACCGAATTGTTGGCAATATGCGGGCTGTTTTGCTAAAATCGCATCTGTTGCATGATTTCGTTTTGTATGGAGGTAGATTTGTATCAAAAGTATCAAAAAATATGGAGTTAGATTGGTGTCAGTATTAGGTATGTGAACACATCGAAAAATCCATGTTAATTTGTAATCTGTGAATATAAAATACCTTCTGCAAATATTAAAAAAAGATTTGACAACACACAAAACTTTTTTGCGAATATAAAAAGATCTGCAGATACACAAACAAATTCCACAAATTAGAAAAATACTCAATGTGCATAAAACACAAGTTCACACGTGTAGAATTGAGCATCACAAAAAAAGCTGGATTCACAAATATTTGTTTGAAAGTTATAAATGTTACGAATATATTCACAAATGCTTTTCATTAATTTTTAGATTAATTTAATGGATTCACGTACTTTTTTGTAATGTGTGAAATGTCAGTATTTACAGATCTGTTTTGGATTTGAAAAATAGTGTTTTGACATTATAAATTAATTTTGTATTTGTTGAAGTTTGTAGAAATTCTGTGCATTAAAAAAAAGGCTCATTGTGCATTCAATGCAGATCCACAAGGGCTGAATTGAGATCCATAAATGAAAATTGGATTGATTTGCAAATATCTGTTTGTACATTTTACATGTTAGGGAGATATTCACAAATGTTTTTTTAATTCATTTATTTATAAATTAAGTTAATAAATTCATAGATATGTATTTCATTTGTGGAATTTGTATATTTGCAGATCTGTTTTATATTTGCAAAATATTTTTTTTTATAGTTCTAGAAATCTGTTTTGTGTTTGTTGCAGTTATTTTATATTTACAGATTACTCACTTACACACTAATTGTTGCTCTGTTCTCACAAAACATTTTGAGACTAATCTATCTCCACACACATCATTAGTCTAACAGAAATTAGCTACACACCAGTACAGTACAGAAGTTTTGATTAGATTGAAAGTGTCCACAGAATATTGGCAATTTAAAGGGCTTGCTTGTTTAAATTGTATCTGTAAAAGTGATAATTTTTGAGAACTTAATTTCAGGGATGTAAACAGTTTTTTTCTACAAAACTGTGACTTAACTCAATAATGCAAAATTGGTCCCATGTTAAAAGATTTCTGAAACATAGCCATGCATGATCAGTTTTCAATCAGCAAGATTCAGAATCAGAATCAGAACTGTCTGATTAGAGAATATGTAAACAAGACTACAAATCTGAACAGACATTCACTTCCATCTTTTGTTACACTGACAGTTTTGATAATAGGTGCCATGAACACATTTAGGTTGGACTTGGCACAAAAAATACAGAGGTTCAATAGCCAGTACTAGTCATTATCAGTCCTTTCACAAACACATTCAGTATTAGTAGGTATTTCATATTCAATCAGTCAATTAAAATTTATTTATAGAGCACATTTAAAAACAATAGCAGTTGACCAAAGTGCTTTACAGTCAGACTTAAGACACAACAAGAAAAAAGACACTGCAACAAAGACAACGTGTTACAGAGGAATGCAGCTATCACACCGAGTTAAAAGCCAAGGAATAAAAATGTGTTTTAAGTCGTGATTTAAAAACAGGTAACAAGGGGGCCAGCCTAATATGCAGCGGTAGCGCGTTCCAAAGTTTAGGGGCTGCTACTGCAAAAGCACAGTCTCCCCTGTGCTTCAGCCTTGATCGTGGGACCTCCAGAAGCAACTGGTCAGCAGACCTGAGTGACCTTGAGGGGACATGTAGCTGTAAGAGGTCAGAGAGATAGGGTGGCGCTAGCCCGTTTAGAGATTTGTAGGTAAACAATAAAATTTTAAAATCAATTCTAAAATGAATAGGAAGCCAGTCGAGTGAGGCCAATATGGGGGTGATATGCTCACGCTTGCGTGCTCCTGTTAACAGACGAGCTGCAGCATTCTGGACGAGCTGCATGAGATAGAGGCCTGGCTAATACCAACATAAAGGCCATTACAGTAGTCAAGCCGAGATGAAATAAAAGCATGTATAACCTTTTCCAAATCTCTAAAAGATAAGAAGGACTTGACTTTAGATAAAAGCCTCAGCTGTAAGAAGCTGGATTTGACAACCGAATTTACCTGTTTATCAAATTCAAAATCATTGTCAAATACCACACCCACATTTTTTGCAGTAGCCCAAGTCGATATGTGATACATCACGGGCACCACTGGGTCCAAATAGCAAAAGTTCAGTTTTGGCTTCATTGAAGCTTAAAAAATTCAGGGCCATCCAGGATTTAACATCCTGCAGGCAGTTCAGTAGTGGTTTTAGTGAATTAAAACTTTTTCTGGTTCAAGGGCAAGTAAATTTGAGTGTCATCAGCATAACAATGGAATGACATGCCATACTTCCTAAAAATAGATCCTAAGGGATCTAATATTGTCATATTAGACATTAGAAGTTGTCAAAGTGAAGCACTGATGCTGGCAGTTCTGGCTGTGTTACATCACACTGTAATGTCAGTATCACACACTGACTTTGCACTTTGAAGCAGACCTTTATCCTTCTCTTTAACTAAGCAGCCAGGTATGTGGACATTCAGGATGTGAAGGCCCGCTTAAGTGCTCTCGTTATCAGTTCACCTCTCACACAGATAATGTCTCTCAAAAAATTACTTAACTACTTGTAGTAGAAACTGATTCTGAATTCTTATATTCAGCTTTTTTTTTTAGTTTTTAACACTGAGTTGGACATTTCCATTTTTTTAAAGATTGTTTAAATTTTCACCAGATTGCCAAAGGGATTTAGTTATGTAAGGTTTGTAAAACATGGGCCAAGGGTTCACTAACCCTCAGGCTAATCCATTTCCACACTGAACACAGCAAGACTTCAGACTTGGCCTTGGAATTAACCTCTTTTAAGCTTTGTAAAGATGCATTACATACTTATCTAATACAGTATGCATGTGTAGTTAGCATGTTTGAGAGACAGAAGAAATAGAAGCCTAATAAGATGTTTCATTTCATCCCTGCTTCTCTGTTATTCATTGACAAGTGTTAAAAACAGGTTTATATTTCTGTTTCAGATTAATACTGACACACAGAGGAGGATGTCTGTGACTGTGAGGAATCCTTTTCAACATATAGTTGAGCCTCTGGACCCTGCAGACCCAATGCAGCAATTTTACAATCTTTCCAAACTTGGAGATCCCAGATATGGTAACATCGGTTCTTTACTGTATATGAATACCCTCTTGTCAGGGTATTTGGACAGTGACTAGTAGTCATTGTATCTCAGAGAGGTTCACTGTCCATCTGTTCCTCAGACCGTCTGCCGTTCTCTGTGCGCGTCCTGCTGGAGTCTGCTGTCAGGAACTGTGATGAGTTTCTGGTGAAGAGCTCAGATGTGGAAAGCATCCTTAACTGGAAGCAGACCCAAACTCAAACTGTGGAGGTGCCTTTCAGACCAGCTCGTGTCATCCTGCAGGACTTCACGTAAGTGGACACTGTTCATTTGCATCAGAATGTTACTGAGTTCCTCCGTTAGGTTTTAAGCAACAGATGGAACAATTGACAAAGTACTGTTGTGTTGAACGCAGGGCTTGACGCTTAGCATTTTCCCAAGTAGCACGTGTGCTCCTAAGTTGAAAAATCTAGTAGCATACAAATAATTTTAGGGGCACGATGAAAAGTTACCAAATAATGTGTTTTTCTTTAATCAAGTGATATGAGGTCAACGAGGAGGCATTTATAAGCAAAACAATTCAATTCATAGCTTTTTAAGTTTTAGTTATATTCTCTAAAGAGTGCAGAGAGAATAATATTGTAACAACTCATGTATTGTCAGTTATTTATTGGTGCAAATGTGCACAGTGCAACTGATACAGTATCAAAACAGCAAGTAAAATTCTCCAAAAAGTGCAGAGAATAATACTGTAACAAGTACTGACAACAGACTTAAGCTTATTTGGCCTGTTTTATAACAGAACATTCATACAACAGGCAGGGTTCACAGAATGTGCTTGAATTTTAAAGCTGAGGGGATGGGGTTAATGTCCTTGAATTTCATATGAAATTAACCAATTAGTTACAACCCAAGTAGTTCTAAATGCAAAATCAAAGTCTGCTCAGTCTCTTTAAACACAAAGGATATCGTCCCAGCAGCTTTTGTAATCTGGTCGTCTGGCCCGTTTGGAGGTCAGCCAGCGGTCCACTGTCCTGGAAAAACCATAATTAAAATAGACACTGAATTCTCTCAATAAAAAATGCTATCATATTTACAGCTTTACAATGTTACACTAAATTGATAAAATAATTTGTGCTAAAAAGAGAAACAACTTTCTTACCAAGGGCATGTGAATGTTCCAGTGTCTGTTGGCCAACCAGAATGTTAGTTGGCTTGCCATTCTCCAATAGCCGCACATAGACGATTTCACATTCAATGTTTGAGATATCACTGTCTCCATCGATCAAAACGGCCAGGTACTGTGCTGCTCTCAGCTTCACTGGAAGGCTTTCTTTCATCGTGTCTGCAATCTGTCCTATCATTTCTGCACACCTTTTGTCATTGTCATAGGTTGGATTGATGTCCACTCCGTTTTTCTTGTGTAGGACCATCAGTGGATGAAACTTCACAAAGGGCAGCTCTTCTTTAGCAATATGATATGCGATATTAAATTTGATCTTGAGCTGTCTTCTTTTATCCTCTTCAGAGAGCACGACCTGTCTCCTCACAGCCGCCTGCAAGGGTTTTTGTTGTGCCGCTATGAATGCATCTCTGCACGCGGTATGCCTATGCGATTTACTGTGTTTCACTAAATTATCTCGTTTGAAGTTCGCGTTGCCTGTGACAAAAACGGACTTTCCAGCTGCTTGCTGCTGCGTTTTGCAGTACTTACAATACATTAATTGGTTTTCATAAAGGAGCCACGGGAATGTTTTCTGCCAGTCAGCATTAAACCTGTACTTTTTACTGCTGGGAATGGTAGTGTTATCACCTGCTCCTCTGGTTTCTTCAGTCACGTTAGCTTCTTCATCTAACTCTAATTCTTCCTCTTCCTCGTCCTCGTCCTCGTCCACCATTTCGGCCTCGGTGCCTGGGTCCACAGCTTCTGGCTCTGTCGCCCTTTTAAAATAATCGCTAATGCGCTTCATAGTTTTTACGTTTTGTTTTCATTTGTTTGGCTTCGCCTCGTTACCATAGATACTCCCTCTGCCTTTAACTGCCTTCCGCAGCACGTCAGCAAGCACGCTCACTACGTGTAAATCACGTATTTTTTTTTCAGCTGAGGCTGCATTCAAGCGCACAACCGGCCACAACCTCCAAACGTCAGCAACACATCATTAAACATTTATTGAACGGTAAAATTCGGTAGTCGCACACGTGCTACTAATTGCATTTCACAATTCGCACTGAACTATTTTTTACTAGCATTTGCGACAAGGTGCTCGCACTGTTGAGCCCTGGTTGAACGATATTTTTTAACCCATATAACTTATTTTCAGATAACTCTATCAGTTAAACACATATGGATCACAGTCACAGGCAGTGCCACTCATTCTGTGATATTAGTAGTACAGGCTGTGTTCTGAATCGCATACTTTTTGTTCATTTGTTCATTTCACCACCGTAAGCTGTCTCAGATGTCATTTCCCTGAGTTTGATAGTACATCCAACGGGCCTCACAACCACACAAGTCGGTTATAATGACAAATTGCTGTAAGGGTCAGACCCTGGTGAGGACGACGAGCATGCAGTCAGCATGCTAATGGCACGCTCCCTTCAAACTTGTGACATCTGTGTCATTGTGTTGTGTGATCAGACTGCACATTTTATAATGGACTTTTATTGTGACCATCCCAAGGCACACGTCTGTAGTAATAATGCTGTTTAAATCAGCATCCTGACATGCCACACCTGGTGGATGAATTATCTTGGAAAAGGAGAAGTGCTCACTAGCACAGATTTGAACAAATTTGAGACTAAAATTTGAGAAAAATACATCTACTGAGTGCATAATCACTATTACTTAAACCTATGAAAATGGGAGCAAAAACTAAAGTATTGCATTTCAGTTTTTGTTCAGTATTAATTATCCTGAGGTAAGTGATGATTAATAAAGTGTGAATGGGTATTCTTGTGAGCGTACATGTTTCTCAACTCTTGCAGTGGTGTCCCTGCTGTGGTGGACTTTGCTGCCATGCGTGATGCGGTGATGAAACTCCGTGGTGACCCAGAGAAGATTAATCCTGTGTGTCCTGCTGACCTCGTCATTGATCACTCCATCCAAGTGGACTTTAACAGGAAGTAAGACCAGGTTCTTTCCACCATGGCGCCATTACCTCATGTATTACTTTTCATCTTGATACAGTGGCATGCAAAAGTTTGGGCACCTTGTTGATGTGAATAGTTAAGTAAGTAGAAGATGAGCTGATCTTCAACAGGCATAAGGATGAAGATGACACAATTCTTCAATATTTAAAGCAAGGTTACTTTTTAATTTGAATCTTTTACAGTTTCAAAATAACAAAAAAGGCCAGAAGCAAAAGTTTTGGCACCCTGCATGGTCAGTACTTAGTAGCGCCCCCTTTGGCAAGTATTACAGCTTCTGAATACTTTTTGTAACCAGCTTAGCTTGAAAGAGTCTTTCAGTTCTTGTTTAGAGGATTTTCACCCATTCCTTCTGCAAAAGGCTTCTAGCTCTGTGAGATTCTTGGGCCATCTTGCATGCACTGTTCTTTTGAGGTCTATCCACAGATTTTTATTGATGTTTAGCTCAGTGGGCCTGTGAGGGCCATGGCAAAACCCTCAGCTTGCTCATCTTGATGTAGTCCATGGCGGATTTCGAGGTGTGTTTGGGATCATTGTCCTGTTGTAGAAGCCATCCACTCTTCATCTTCAGCTTTTTACAGATGGTGTGATGTTTGCTTCCCGAATTTGCTGGGATTTAACTGAATCCATGCTTCCCTCTACCTGAGAAATGTTCCCCGTGCCACTGGCTACAACACAAGCCCAAAGCACGATCGATCCACCCTTGTGTTTAACAGTTGGACAGGTGTTCTTTTGATAAAAAACTGAACCCTTTTTTCTTCAAACATATCTTTGCTCATTGCGTCCAAAAATTTCTATTTTAGCTTCATCAGTCCACAGGACTTGTTTCCAAAAAGCATCAGGCTTGTACAGATTGTTCCTTTACAAACTTCTGATCCTGAACTTTGTGGTGAGGACACTGGAAAGGTTTTCTTCTGATGACTCTTCTATGCAGGTCATATTTGTACAGGTGTCACTACACAGTAGAACAGTGCACCACCACTCCAGAGTCCGATAAATTGTCCTGCAGGTCTTTTGCAGTCAAACAACGATTTAATTTGCCTTTCTAACAAACTGAGGAAACAGCTACCTACAAACACTTTGCTATCTTCTTATAGCCTTCTCCTGCTTTGTGGGATTCAGTTATTTTAGTTTTCAGAGTGCTAGGCAGCTGTTTAGAGGAGCCCATGGCTGTTGATTTTTGGTACAAGGTTTCAGGAGTCAGAATATTTATAAAGCTTTGAAATTTGCATCATCTGGCTTTTCCTAACGATGATTGTGAACAAGCCAGAGCCCTAACAAGCTAATTATGGTCTCTGAGAGACCATATGAGCTGAGAGCTCATATGTATTGGAGGCCCAAATCTTTTCATAGTGCTCCTTTCCTTTTTTAACTGTAAAATTGTACAAAACAAAAATAACACACTGATCTTGCTTAAAATGTTCAAAAGCATGTTTCATCTTTAACTTCATACCTTTTGGAGATCAATTCATCTTCTACTCACTTAACTGTTCACAGTAAACAAAATTTTGCCCAAGGGTACCCAAACTTTTGGATGCCACCGTACATTTTGATCCTTTCCTCAGCTTGCTGAGACTCTTAACAACTGTGTGATACTAGTATCTTTCTCTACAACGTATACACACTGGCTCTTTTTCTTATAGGTCTGACAGCCTTCAGAAAAACCAGGATTTGGAGTTTGACCGCAACAGAGAGAGATTTCAGTTCTTAAAGGTATGACATTTGAACAAACTCAATGTCTGATGCTTGGGTTACTACAAAGAGTCTCTTTCTTTTTTTTTTTAATGTTAAGTTGGAGCAAGTCTTACAGCACATTATAATTGCAAAGTTTTCTTTTTTTTCTCTTTTTTTTTAAAAAAAACAAAGTAATATAGCAATTAAAAGTAAAATATTTGTTGTATGACTATTCATATATGCAGAGATGGTATTAGTGTTATAATAGATAAAAAATAACTTAACATTTATACTTATTTTTATTTATACTTTATAGTACTTAAAATTTCAACTCTTGAGAACACCTGCATTGTAAACAACATTAGGCAGGAAGAATTAAACAAATATTGATTTTTTTCATTTACACGGGAATTATAAAAACCTTGGGGTGTTTCCACCGAAATTACCTAGGGAAAAAACTTTCCCTCAACCCCAAACTTTCCCTGAAAAAAGTATCTAGTAGGGGGTTAGGACTTGTCAGATTCCCCAGAATTCTTGAGGGGCGGGGCTGTTTGCTTAAGAATGCTAATTAGTGGAACACACACTTGCAGTGTTCCACACTTCCTGGCACAGGCAGCCGCTGCAAACTTTATTTAATTTCTACAAGCTTTACTTCGTTTGTGTTTTGATTAAGGATGGGTACGAAACATGGTACTAAATTAGCCCCGGGACTAAATTATCAAAGACCGTAGTATTGAGAAGCGCTGGCGGTATCGGTTCTTTTATCGGTACTTTTACACATTTTGATTTAATTCATTATCATCCTGCAGTCTCTCCTCTGCACTCTGTGCTGGCGCTGAACTGCTCCACATACACAAATATTCACATGCACATGCCTACACGACAAGGTAACCTGTGAACAGCTGAGCGGCTGCAGTGGAAACAAAGTGAAGATAACTCGAAAATTACTCGAGTTGATGGCAGCTACACTCGTAACTGTAAGTGACATTAAACCTTAGTGAGTAAGAAGCCAATACTTTATCAATACATGTGTTCAGCAAGCATAAACATGTTGACATGTAGACAGCAATATTCAGTATGCTCCCTCCACAGTCTCTCCTCCACCAACACTTAAATTATGTAGTACATGCTAGTTTAGGCAGCATGCTAGTTCAGCTGATAGCGAATTGTTACATATAAGCTCAAGTGACAGCTGTCTGTATGTAGACTAACTTAGTTTGACACTTACCTTAAAACACTTTTAAACGTAGCTGCTGGCTGAGACAAACAGCCCCTCCTCTCTTCACCAGCACTAATGTTACCATGTTACCAGCCAAAAAGCTGACGGAGCTAAATTTAAGGCACACGCTGAATCATCTACGTCATAAGCCTGATTTGAATACATTTTCTGGAACTTTGTGGCGCAATGGAAATGCAAACCACACTGATTACCAGGAATTCTTTTACCTAGGTAAATAAATTGCTTGAAAGAAAGGTTCCTGGAAATGTTGATGGAAAAGGGGCTATGGATTACATCAATCCATTCCTCAATCATGGGTGTGTCTGTTGACATCCATTTTCTCATGAGAGCTTTCTTACTTGCTATCAGTAAAATATTAAACATGTATTTATTTGAAAATCTGTCAACAGTGTCCGGTCTCAGACCCATGTACAACGTCACAAAACTAATCAGAATCGGCACTTTAAGCAACTTTTCTGTTCTTTGGCTCAGGAGCAGTAGGCAGTGCCAGAACACATGGTAATGGTTTGGGTGTTTTTTCCCCGCAGGACCTCCAACATGAGATGTTTTTCTTTAAGAAATTATTTTGTGCATGAAGACATTTTTTAACATGTTGTCTCTCCTTTTTCAGTGGGGCTCCAAAGCCTTCAGGAACATGCGAATCATTCCTCCTGGTTCAGGGATTGTTCACCAGGTCAACTTGGAGTACCTGGCCAGAGTGGTGTTTAACCATGATGGGTACTTCTACCCTGACAGCCTGGTGGGCACTGACTCCCACACCACAATGATTGATGGACTCGGAGTCCTGGGCTGGGGTAAGACAGTGATCATAAGTAGATCATCATCATCAGTAGAAGTCCTTTGTAAGGCTCAGTGCATACTGCAGTGTAATGAATAAACCTCTAGCCAATGATAACATGATTAACATAAGTCCCGTTTCCACCAAACACTTTCTGTATGGTATCTTTGGAACCAGAAGTAACCCTTCAGACATGGTACCTAGACCCTAGGTCTGTTTAGCGTTTCCATCGCAAACAGTACTCTTAAATGTGGGTGGGGTTGTGTCACTCACAGCTCCATCCAGCACTCACTGTATTTCCTCTAAAATGGTGACACAGATAGAAGTCTGCATCTCATTTATTGTCCACAGAATGGGATTGCACGTTGACATTTTAAGAACAAAACAGACCAGGAGAATTTTTACAATTCCTTATGACAATTTTACAAAACGTAAGAAATTCAGTTTATGTAAGCCTAACACACATTCCTCTATTGATCGTCCAGCAGTAATTTTAGCCTAAATATTCAGATTCTATTTAACTACAGTCAAAACTTTTTTTCCACTGCATGTAGATCATATACCAATGTAGATTTTAAAAGTACTCATTGCCACTGTTTGGGGAAAAAAAAACAAAAAAACATTACAAGTTGTTGTTGTTGTTTTTAATCAAGAAAAATTGCAGCTCCCCTGTTTACTTGCATTTGTGTACAGGCATGTCTGACCTTGCCAATATGGCTGCATCGCTAACGTGTTGCTGCAATGGGCTGACACAGTCAATGCTGTGTCTGCATATATATGTCTATGGTGACAATCTTACTTGAATTGATCATTGATGATGAGGTTCTAAATTAGATCTGTCATAAATCCATCAGGTGTTGGTGGAATTGAGGCAGAGGCTGTTATGCTGGGTCAGCCAATAAGCATGGTACTGCCTGAGGTGGTGGGATACAAGCTGTCCGGGATCCCAGACAAGTTCATTACCTCCACTGACATTGTCCTCACTGTTACTAAGGTAATTACAATCACTTTAACACGCTTGAACGATTTACCAATGTAACTTTCAAAGTAAGATAATAAGTAAGAGGTATGTGGAGACATGTTTGATTCTTTGGAGTAATTCCTTTGTATTCAGCATCACAATCTGACATCCTTTCCCCTCCACATCACAGCACCTCCGTCAAGTTGGTGTTGTAGGAAAGTTTGTCGAGTTTTTCGGCCCTGGTGTTGCTCAGCTGTCCATCGCTGACAGAGCCACCATCTCCAACATGTGTCCAGAGTATGGAGCCACAGCAGCTTTCTTCCCCGTGGACGAGGTCAGCATTCAGTACCTGGAGCAGACAGGTGAGTGCCAGGCTGTACAGTATGGAGATGATACTGCATACTAGTTCAGGTGGCTTTACTGTATGTCTTGAGAAAGGTCCTAATGACTGAAATGTCAACACTTTTTTTTAAATGAATTAAATCAAAGGTTATAAGTGCATACAGGAATTCACCTGTTTTCTTTGAAATCTGATCTTTGTGAAATTGGATTACCTACATCACAAGTGAGACAAAACAAGTGGTGTGTGTGTGTTGCCTTCCACTCATGAGGTGGCTTTATTTTCATGTTCTAAGCTATGCATTTGACTTGACATATAACTGATAGACGTATTCAACTTAACATGTTTACTTCAGCCCCATCAGTGTACGCAAGATCTGATTTCCACCATGTTGGGATTTTTTAAAGCAGCAAGCACTTAGCAGTATACCAACACTCCACAAATGTCGAAAAGTACTGTTACAGAGCTACTTTGCATTGTTCAATAACTGACTTAAGATTTTGTGTCTCGGTGACTTGTGGGAACAGCAAATTTTGGAACTAGTTTCATTTTAGCTCAGTGTAAGAACCTTTACTTTTGTTTCCTTTCACTCATCATGGGCCAGAAAGAAAGGAGAGAGAACGACACAGGTGACGTTACTTGACGTAACAGCCTCTTGTTACATTACTGTAAGTACAATACATCTTCCAAACAAGTGTCATTTATTATTGCAATTAACCTAAAACCAAAGATAGACTGATGTCGACCCCAAACTAGTTGAGCCAAAGCTGACAGGCTCGTCCTCCTCCAACAAGTGTGAGTTGTGGTTCAACTCATTTAAAAGTATCTGTGTGTTCAGATCTTTTGTAGCTTTGAACTGAATCTCTGTGGTTTGAAGTTTAGTTTCTCTTCTGCGTTGCTGTTTGTAATTTCAGATATCTTCTTTATTTAGCCATTTCATGTTCACTTTCAGATAAAGAAAAGTGCAGATGAAACCTTCATATTTCCTGTTTTTGCTGCTTCACAATAAAAGTGATTAAATAACAAAACAATGCTAGACTTGTATTGTGAAAAATTCATAGGAAATGAAACATCCACTGATTTACAGCTGCTTAACTTCAGACCAGCAAGATGGTCTGTGTATGTGTTATTTATTGTAGAGCTGTAACTTTACATTCTGTTTTAACGTATTCAGCGGTATTTCATTTCATCACTTTGATGTTCTGAATGAAGAGTCAAAAAGAGACAAGTATTTTTTATTGTTGTTACAAGAGTCTTTTAAGTTTAAGTCTAGCATTTTGATATGTCTTATGCCAATGTTGGATTTTTAAAGACTTGGACACAAAACGGACCAGAACAAGTGAAATGTACAGAAAAACATTTCAATTCTGTGTTAGAATCCTTTCCATAATGTTGTCTGTTTTGCTGCTGCTGGCTGCAGCGCTCTCTCAATACTAGACCAATTCCAAAAATAGTTGTTCCCACGAGTCACTTAAAACAAAAACATGGGAAATAGGGTCCCAGGTTGAAAAATACCTCAGTTTCCCTTTAAGACATCTCTTGGATTAATTACAAAAAAGGTTATTCAAGGTTTGTTCCATGTTTTTGTATTCAGGGCGAGAAGCAGAGAAGCTGGCCTTCATTTCAAAGTACCTGAAGGCAGTGGGCATGTTCAGAGACTACAATGATGTCTCTCAGGATCCAGATTTCACTCAGGTCTGTCTCTACAGCATTTTTACCTTTTTGCAGTTTTTGTCAGAAATTGTTCAGCCCAGGCTGATTAACAATACCTTAACAGAGCAAAACATCCCCATCCCCATAATGGTCAAAACAGCATACCAGGGTATCAAGATTTGATTCTTCTTTTTTTTTATGCAAGCTGTAACATCATACCAAGCACAAAAATGTGATGAACATCATAAAGTAGATAAAATAAAGATGAGATGTTTAAATATGCAAGATAAATGTATAAGCAGAAAAGTAGGAATTGCCTAGTTATGACCACGCGGCATGGCAGTGGCAGTGGTCAGCATTGTGGCCTCACAGCAAGAGGGTTCGCGCTCCCCACTCCCGTGGTTCAAACCTGGGGTGGGGTAGCCCTTCTGTGCAGAGCTTGCCTGTTCTCCCCGTGTCAGCATGGGGTTTCTCCAGGTACTCCGGCTTCCTCCCACAGTCCAAAGACATGCAGGTTAACTGGTGACTCTAAACTGGCCGTAGGTGTGAATGTGAGTGTGAATAGTTGTCTCTCTCTGTGTGTTAGCCCTGTAACAGTGTGGCAACCTGTCCAGGCAGGGTGTAACCCACCTTATGCCCAATGTCAGCAGGGTTAGGCTCCAGCCCCCCACAACTCCTTATAGGAAAAGCGGTTATGGAAAATGAATGAATGGATGAATGAATGATAAAGCAAATATGTAAAATGAACCGCCAATACTAGTACATCCTGATCTTTTTTTCTCTCCGTCAGGTTGTAGAGCTGGATCTGAGTACAGTGCTCCCCTGCTGCAGCGGACCCAAAAGACCTCAGGACAGAATCTTTGTGTCCAACATGAAAACCGACTTTGAAAACTGCCTGGGAGCAAAGGTAGGTGTAGATTCTGGGGGCGACATGTCCTTCTTTAAATTTAAAACGTTTACATTTGTCCTCAAAATACATCCATTATTGTAGCAGAGCCTTTTTAACTTTAATGTAATTTCCACAACAAATTGGTGTACAACAATTCACCAGAATGCGAATTAAGCGTTGATCAAAATTGCCAGGGGGTGGAACCCCAATCTGGGGTTGGGCTGGTTATATAGAATTTTACACACTTGACTCAGTAGCTGTTCCGGAATGGAAAAAAATGACACTGTGCTAAATTTAAACTAGCATCCAACTATTATTGCCAAGTTGCTATCTTCTTACATTTGCATTGTATGGATAATTCCTCAATTCAGCTTTATGAATCAGCTGTTTCTCATACATTGCAGTGCTTTCAAAGCAAGCCACAGGTAGCCTAAAATTAGTAACAAGTCATCCTACAAAAGTTGAGCTCTGAAGGGCAATGCATTCCATGCAGCCAGTTAGAACACCTATTATGTCGGCTTCACATCCAAAATGTTGACATATTGGTGCAGTTTTGGTTTTCTTGAAAGACTAACTCTGCTTTGTCTTCTCTCATCACCCCAATCAACTCATGAACTTTCTAGTAAACAAACAGGGCATGCACAGCTCTGCCCCTTCCACCTCAACTGAAATTTGATCCCATGTTATTGTGCTCGGCTCACAACCTGTCAGACACTGTTGTCTTCATGAGTCAGTTTAAACACACATAAAGTTATGTTCATCACGTTGTTAGGCTTATTACTAATGTAATGAGTTGGATTTAGTGCCATGACACAATCAGCACAGGTTGATGATGTTCAGCTGGTTTGCATTAAATCAAACTGGTTTAAGCTCATACACCAGACTGGACTGGCAAAAACATAGATCGACCCAAATCTACCCCAAACCCCCTGTTTCATACAGTGTTAATTTTGACAGCTGTTTCAGATTTAGTCTTAGTCTTGAGATGAAAATGCTCATTAGTTTTAGTCACATTTTATTCTTTTTGTCCTTCATTGTTTTAGTCAACGAAAACTCAAAACATTTTAGTCGACAAAAATTTAAAACATTTCAGTCAACGAAAATTCAAACTGTTTAAGTTTCTGATATTTCAAAGCGTTCTAGACGATGAAAATTCATGACATTTTAGTCAACTTTTAGTAATTATGTGTTCTTTATGTTTTTTTAACCTTTAAACTAATCCAGTGAGACTAATTCATGTATCAGAAATTAGAATCAAGCTGACAGGTTGTATAAAGATGTCATTTACAGTTTTACAAATCATTTCTACACACTTATAAACTGTCATTTCTCCAGCAGTTTTTGACAGGTTTAAGGGGTGATTTACAAACACACACTTCATTTGAAAAGCTCAACATCTCTCTATTTATGGTCTCAAAATTTTTTTGAGATCATAAATAGAGAAATGTTGAGCTTTTAATAAATAAACTATTTACTGGTGTTTGCCAACCCGTCCATCATGCAGCATTTGAAGATAATCACAAGCACGGATGTTCTCAGCTTTCAGTGTCCAATAGTCCACCATGAACATTTTCATCATGTCTTGTCAGCAAAAAACATAGATTTTGTCTTGGTTTTTATTATCGAGATATATTTTTAGCTCACCATTGTCTCATTTTTGTCATGGAAAAAGGGTTGCCCGGGCAATTATTTGCTTAAATCACAAAACTCAACAGGCTTATTGTTGGGGTAGGCATCTGTATGGCATAGGCCTTTAATTCCTTTTAAACAAAACTGTTTCTCAGCAAAGATGGGAAATACGATCGAATTGTTTATTTGAACCAGTATAAGTATTACTTGTATAGAAATTAGGCTTCAGATAATATATCAATTATGAATCATTCATTTGATCTAGCCTCGACAGACGGGGCATCAGAGAGAGAGAGCATTATGACTTTTGAGGATTATGTCACCCGGCGTACCAGCACAACACCACTTTATCCTGTTAAAACTGTACACACAACTTGGATTAATTTTCATGAAAAACGCTTTTTATTGATTTGATCAATGGACTCTTACAGACTAAAGGAATATGAATAACTTACTGGGTAATCAGGGAATGGACACATATTCTGACTTAATGACAGCTTCAGTGGTAGGGAGTCCCCACTTATTCTTTCGCCATGGCAGTAAATTGACCGGTTTATGGAGGCAACCACAAGGCAGTAATTCTACTTTAATCAGATAGTTCCTGATTTAAATCAAATATTGCCAGTTTTAGACTTTGACTCATATGGCTCCTTCTGCTTGGACAGCATTTAATATTTTCACTTCAACTTTTTAAATTTCTCTTGTTCCTTGTTGCTTTTTTTGTTAAATGAAAAAAATGAGTTTCCCAAAATTGAAGAAAGGTTTTATAAAGACATGAAGTTCTGGCATGGCTACAAAAACTCAAGTATTTTGTTTGCTTATGTATCAAAAAAGTTCAAACAACACGCAGCCCTTTTTGTCAGTAATAGCTTGAACTTGTGTCCATGACTGTATTGCTGTTACTCTCAGAGCATTGGTTGACTTTACAGAGTAAATGATTTCATGTTGGTTTGTGATATTTTTCAGCAAGGTTTCAAGGGTTTCCAGGTGGCTTCTGAGCGTCACAGCACTGTGGTGCCCTTTCAATTTAATGGAAATGAGTATACGTTAAGCCATGGCTCAGTGGTCATCGCCGCTATCACCAGCTGCACCAACACAAGCAACCCATCTGTCATGCTTGGAGCAGGTGGGTTTACAGTTCTTCTCATGGGGGTTCATGGGGTTCTGAGAGGTGATTCCTAATCAGGATGGGGACTGAGGGAAATGTTTACTCCTCCAGGGTATTTGACACAGTTATTAATGATAAATGTTCTTCTTTCAGGGCTCCTTGCGAAAAAAGCAATAGAGTGTGGCTTGAGTGTGAAGCCGTACATAAAGACCAGCCTGTCACCTGGCAGTGGAGTTGTCACCTACTACCTGAAGGAAAGTGGTGTCATGGACTACCTCTCTCAGCTGGGGTAAGCTGCTCAAACTCCTCAGTCAGTCAGTTGTCTTTATGTATGGATGATCTCTGACATGTTCATTCATGTGGGAAAGACAAAGACACTTTATGTGTTGAGCCTGGAAAACAGTTGTTGGACACATAAACAAAACAAACTTGCAAACATAAAAAAAAAACCCAAGGTCTACTTACTAGCTTTTTTCCTCACCTTTTGTTCAAAGTTTGCTCTGCTGGATGGATTTAGTTTGCGGAAGGCAAAAACAGTGTGGTGCAACTGTGGTGTAGGGCTGCATGTGTAACTGGGTGATCAAATGTGATTAACAGAAAAACACGCACACTAATCTCCTGTAATCTCCCCCATACATGTGGTCTCTCTCTCTCTGTGTCTCTCATAAAGACAGTAGCCTACATGAAACTATTACAACATGGGAGATGAATTCCCCCCTTCTGCCAGCTAGTAGCCAGCTAGCCTATTTATCGGCATAGTAAAATAACATTATACTTACCAGAGAGATGCAAAGGGGGGAGTCCTCTCAACCAGCTGGTCCTGAGGCTCTAACAGTCCAGCCTGACCAAATTATAGCAGAAGAAAAATAAAGTTACATCAACTATTGGACCACAAAAACCCAAAACAAACTTCAGTGCTATTTGGCCCTAAGCAGACCGTACAGAATAGCCCCTTTCCCACCGCAGGAACTTTTATCAGTTACCTGGGATTTTGAAAAAACCTCTGCGTTTCCACCAAAATTACCCGGGTAAAAAACTTACCTAGTAGGGGGGTAGGACTTTTCAGATTACCCGGAATTCTTGAGGGGCAGGGCGGTGTGTTGAACAACACTGATTGGTGGGACACACACTTGCAGCGTTCCGCACTTCCTGGCACAGGCAGCCACTGCAAACTTTATTTCATTTTCTACAAGCTTCACTTCGTTTGTGTTTCGATTAAGGATGGGTGCCGAAACCCGGTACCAAATTAGCCCCTGGGCTAAATTATCAAAGACCGTAGTATTGAGAAGCGCTGGCGGTATCAGTTCTCCTCTGCTCTCTGTGCCAGTGCTGAACTCCTGCACATACACACACATACACCGACGCAACAAGGTAACCGGTTAACAGCCGAGCGGCCCCGGTGAAACGAAGTAAAGATAACTGGAAAATGACTCGAGTTGACGGCAGCTACAGTGAAATTAAACCTTAGCGAGTAAGAAGCCAATACTTTATCAATACATGAGTTCAGCAAGCATGAACATGTAGACAGCAATATTCAATATGCTCCGTCCACAGTCTCTCATCCACTCCCAGTAACGTTATGTCTTACACAAGGACAGCACACTGGTTCAGCTGATAGCGAATTGTTACTAATAAGCTCAAATGACAGCTGTCTGTATGTAGATTAACTTAGTTTGACACGTATCTTAAAATACTTTTAAACTGAGCAGCTGGCTGAGACAAAGAGCCCCTCCTCTCTCTACCAGCACTAATGTTACCAGTAAACAAGTTGGCGGAGCCAAATACAGGACACATGCCGAATCATCTACGTCATCACGCTAATTTGAAAACATTTTCCGGAACTTTGAGGTGCGGTGGAAACGCAAACCACACAGATTACCCAGAATTCTTTTACCCAGGCATAGGCGTTTCTAGCCCATTTTTGGGGGTGCTGAAGCACCCCTAAATTGAATCCCAGCACCCCCAAAATTTGAATTTTTTTTTTTTTTCTTACTGTATGTCCTTTTTTAACAAGCTAGAAAAATGTCAAAGCCATACAGTAGTTGGTTGAAACCTAGTATTTTAACAACAAAAATACAAAAATATAGCACTGACGTTTTTTCTAGCTAGGAAACATTACAGGTGGTCAGTACCACTGTCCTCTGTTTGAATTGGAATTTAGCTGTTGTGTCATGTGCATGTGTTAATATTAACCCTATGGGCCTGAACGACGCATAGTGCGTCCAAATTCACACCTGTTCTTCTCTATAGTTTTTCTCCGCGACCGTGCGTCATAGCGAGAAGCCACGCATATCACGTGAAACAGCAGAACTGTAGCTTTCCGAGAAGACCAAGCACTTGTCAGTAGTGCAATGTTTTCACAGCGAAAAAAATGATAAAGTTACACTAAATTTATGTATAACAAAGCTTTCATACAGCTTTGCACACACGTTACTCTTGGATGGATTACTCGCAAATGCATTGTGCTGTCATCCAATTATGCTAAATGACAAATTTCTTTTCAATCCATTATACAGATCTTGTTATCAGTCACTTCATATAGTGAGGAATATTGTATCTTACCTCGTCTTAGGCTTGCTTGTGTTTCTCCCTTTCTATCCACATTTGTAGTCCGGCTTTCAAGATGCAAATATCTCCATATTGTCCAGTTGACACTCCATCAAAATTTGTATGACAAGACCAGCCACTTCACCTTCGCGCACCCAGACAACTGTAGCCTAATTATGCATGCTGACAGGGCCATAGTCACCATATACATTGAAGGGGACACGTGCCCCCCACCAATGCCCAATTTTTTTTTTACTGCAAACAAAGTGTCAAATTTTATCTTGGAGGACATCATTGCACTTGGTTGACTATTTTTCTATTATCTTAGATGAAAATATTGCATGTTTCTTTCAGATAAAACACATTTTTGACTTGTGAATGAGTCAATGGAATTTCTTGCAATAATGAAAAAATACTGGCAATCATGTCCGCCTGGCACAAACCACATGTTTTAGACAGCTGTGAAGTGACAGAATGTCCCACCATCATGGTTCTTATATTGCCAGATTCCAGAGAGTCTCCCCTCTTCATATATGGCAGAATATGTCAACTTCCAACTTGCTATGGTGAGATACATGTAAAAATGTAAGAATTTAGGCACACAGATTTGTTTTTTTTTCATTGATATAAAAATTAATATAAAATACAGGTACACAGAAGGACATGGCATGGTGGCAAATCTGGTTAGCCCTGATTGACCTGAAAAAAAACAAGATATAGCATGTGTATGTAGTCTTTATAATGCCTGTGATATGAGCTTAAAAGTAAAGGCAGTAAAAATACCCCCAAAAAGGCCTAGGGCCCATTTTGTGTGTGTGTGTGTGTGTGTGTGTGTGTGTGTGTGTGTGTGTGTACAGACAGACTCATCATGGATATAAGATTGTTTTAAAAAAAAAAAGAGCCAGGTTCAGGTAAGAGTGTAAGATCAAATGGTCTATCTATCTAGAATGATGTTGTAAGTTGGATCAATGTATCAGTTTATATCTCTTATTAGATATAAAAGGCACTGTTTGGTTATTTGCCTTTTTTGGCCCAAAAGGTGTTGTGCTTTTCTTTGTGGGAATGAAATTGCGTTAAAATGTACAAAACAGTGAAATTTATCTTGCCTGGCCGGGCAGCTCTCTGGGTGCTCAGCACCCCTAAACTTCTGATCCTAGAATCGCCCCTGTACCCAGGTAAATAAATTCCTGGTAATAAAGGTTCCTAGAAATGTTGGTGGAAAAGGGGCTAATGGCAAACTTTCTGACCGCTGTGACAGATCAGAAACTGAGAAAGACACTACCTATGCACAAACTCGTTGGCTTTTTCCACTGTCTCTTTTGGCCGCACTGAGTCAAGCCATGCCGCCCTGCGTTTCCATTATCAATTTAGACACGCCATCCCATGCCATGCCATGCCATGCCATGCCAAGTTGCGCCAGAGATGGACCTTCTCCAAAGTAGGTCCAAAAGCTGGGCCACCCGCCCGCAAGCAGGTAGCAGTGACGTCTTGCTGACCTGATGACCCCGCTTCTACCCCTCAAACAAGCATGTGCGTTGCGATACTCTACTCACCTCTGTCTGCAGGAGACTAGAGAGAGAGGCATTTTTAAAAGTCTATGTGGGTTCAGCTCTCAGTACTTTTGTAGCTTCTAACTGAATCTCTGTGGTTCTGTCCTGCATTCTGTTTGTACTTCATATAGCTGCTTTATTTCACTGTTTCATGTTCACTATCACTTTAGCTGTGGATCAGCCCACTGCTTTTAAACGTCATCACTTAAGACAAGCCGTCATCAGTTAAAACACAGCTTCAAGTGGGTATCCCTGTTGTAATGGAAATGCAAATCCCTGTCGTGTTGGGCCAATGACCCAAACCAAACCAAACCAAACCAAACCAAGCCAAGCCAAGCCAAGCCAGCCCATGACTGTCGAAAAGGGCTATCAATTATCACAGCCTGGCCATAGAGACTGGCAGACACAGGCAGACCTGGCTGCCTAGAGAGGACAGGCTGTGTCAGCTTTGTCCACAGAGACAAGTGGAGACAGAGCAAGATTTCCTGCTACAATAGCACATATGAAGGCATCAGAAACAAGTTCTTTACCAAAATGACATGTAAACTCCAACATTTTAATACACTCTCTGGAGTAAAAAGTGTCACCGCCACAGAAGCAGCGAAATATATCGGTGAATGTCGCAGCCTAGGAGAAAACCAAACAACAACATATAGTTCTTCTCCTCACAGCTCACGCCTTTTATTTTCTCCTTCACTTAATACGTTGTATGTCTATGATTTTGTATTTATGCATTGTTGTCAATTGTTTCTCTAATAATTTAATTACCTTACATATTCCATTGCAATTAATTGAATTCACTGTCTTAAATTGTAAATGTGCTTTGGCAACATTTATGAAATGTCATGCCAATAAAGCTTATTGAATTGAACTGAGCTGATAATACAGAGATAGCCATCACAGTAAAAGAAATGATAGTGTAGTGACGGAGAGACAAAATTGTCAAAAGCCATGGAAGTAACTGTGCTGAGGACAACGGATTGTTTTGAAGCTTTTCATTCAGCAAAAGTAGCTCCATCTGCTGGCCTATCCCATAATGAACTCAAGGAGGTAAAAAAAAGAGAAGTCACGGCACCATATTGTCTCATATCACTGGGATACAACACATTCGCAGTAATTCTGGTCTGCACTTTCTAAAAGGCTCAATAGCGCGTGCGCTATCATATATAGAACATGGGAATGATTGATTTGTTTCACTGTGGCGCCCATAATCTGAAATATATTTAGAATAATATGGGTGAGAATTACAATTTCACAATTCCTGAAAAGATCCTCAATAAAATACCTAAAATAGATGCCTCCTACATGGAAATGTTCTACTGTATATTGACAGTACTTGTGTGATACCCCATAGCTCCCATGAGGTCAAAGAGCGTGTCCCAGTCGCTTTGGAGTAGACTTGCCCAGTGCTTATGATGGTCATGTGATTTTTGTCACAGTCAGCCAAAGTTAGTATGAAGCTTTTTGAAGATGATATGCTTACTTTGTAAATAATCGTTTTGTCTCTCCTGTTAGCTTTGAGGTTGTTGGCTATGGTTGCATGACCTGTATAGGCAACAGTGGGCCTCTCCCAGAGCCCGTGGTGGAGGCCATAACCCAGGTACCACATCCTTACTGTATCATTTCATATCTTCAAGCACTCATTACATCTTTTTCATCCTCATTTAGTGTTTTTCCCCTTTTCCCAGCATCCTTCACTCTTAAATGTTGTGTGCTTACTTGGGCATTGTAGGCACCTAATCCACAATTGCTCTCTTGCATTTCACTTGTACTTTTTCCCAATCTGAAGTATCTCTCCTCTCTCCCTTTTACAAGCTATGTATATATACAGTATGAGCAGTAATACATTTCAGAATATAAAAAAACACAGTAATCGTGCAGTCTTTGTATCCTTTGAGGTGTTTATTGATTTGTGTTTCAGGGAGATCTGGTTGCTGCAGGTGTCCTCTCAGGAAACAGAAACTTTGAAGGAAGAGTCCACCCCAACACCAGAGCTAACTACCTGTCTTCCCCACCACTCGTCATCGCCTACGCAATAGCCGGCACTGTAAGGATAGACTTTGAAAGTGAACCAATTGGTGAGTGGTGTGTTTTTTTAGGGGGACCACACAGAAAAATTAGCTGTAAGCTTCCCTTTATTTATTGTCACACATAATTAGGCATACAGTATAATGAGCTTGCTGAAGCACGTTCGCTGTGGGTGGTAGTGTTGGTCTGTCACCATTAAAGCCCTCACATCCATCATCACACACTACAGCGCAAGTGACCCATGACCATAGGTGAGGGTTTGGACGTAGATGGACCAGTAAATCGAAAGATTTGTCTTCTGACTCAGCTCTCTCTTAACCACAACAATCCAGTACAGTGCTCACTATACTCCATTCCACCCTCACTCGTGAACAAGACCCTGAAAAGAGGTGATGTTCCATGTACCTAGAGCGAGTCTGCAACACCAGAGGTCAGCACGCCCGGGTGCCAGCCCCTGCCTGCCGCCAGCACACATTGCTTGCCAGTCCCTGCAGGTGGCCGGCCTACAGGAGTGGCGGCTCCATGCCATTCATTCTGGTGGAGCCAACTCACTCAGTACATTTACATGCAGCTTGAGAAAATCGAATTATTGGCTTAGTCCGACTGAAACCAGACTTTTAAATGCATGTAAACAGCTTAGAAATTGAACTATCAGTAGCTCGACTAACACACCTAGATAATTTGATTGAAAATCAAACTATTGCTGCATGTATCCACTCAGTCCGACTGGAGTCGGACTCGGCGTTCTGCGCGTGCACTACTTTTTCTTTTGCGGGCTTTCACCCAGAAGAAGAAGGAGATGACATAGCAGCAGCAAACAAACAAACACCATGGCGACCGTGAAGCAGAAGACGTACTTGTGGACGGATGAGGAAACTACATCCATCTCTGCCATCTTCATTCGTCGTTAGCTTCCTCTATGGGTCAACCGGAACTAGTTCAATACGCACTATATTAAAACGAACATAGCGCCGCCGATCGAGGTGGAGTCAGATGTACTTGGTCAGAAATTCGATTTTCTCTTCTGCATTTATACTCAGACAAGACAAGAAGTCCGACTTGACTGATTAGCCGAGCTATGAGCTAAGCTCGACTACTGCGTGCATGTAAACGTACTGACATCTCCAGTGCTGTCTGTCCCTCCTGTTCAAAGGAAATGACAGTTCTCCTAGTTGAAAGAGGAGGAGAGTTGTGTTCCTGGGTGTGCCTCCTTGTGTACCTTCCTGACTCATGCTTGTTTAGCAGGATTAAATGATGTGTTTGAGGTTTGATGCTGTTCAACAAAGTGGACAAACTGGGTCTTCAGCAAGCAGCTGGTTCAGGTTTTTGGACTTTGGAGCACATTATTGACAGCTCTCACAAGAAAACTACACTTATTTCATTTCTTTCTTCATAGCTCTCTACAGCTGATTTCTTCTCTGTGTTGTCCCACCTGTTCCTGTTTTGACCACTTTAACATATCTCACCATCTCCTCCTGTCATTACAGTCCCTTCACAACTAATACTCACCTTTGCTGGAGAGTTGTCACTTTGTGCCAAAAGGGGCCTGTTTGACCCTGTGTGAAGACCCTCTAAACTGTACTTTCCCTACAATGTCAGAATGCTTGAGTGCAGCTTTTGCCCGCTGAACTGCCTCAGCAGCTGGACACCACTTCCTCCCTGCTGTTGCAACAGTCAGTGCATTTGCTTGGATAACCTTGTCCCAGGATTCTAAGTCATCTGAAGTCTGGCCTTGAATTCTTAAGTCATCCCAGAGAGAGGCAGTCCCAGCCACTTTTTGACCCACTCCAGTTTTTATGCCTCTGTGTCAGCAATAGCCATATAGGAATGATGTTTTTGGGTTGTCTGTCTGTCCGTCTGTAGGTCCGTACATCCCATCCTTGTGAACATGGTATCTCAAGAACACCTCAAGAGTATTTCTTCAAATTTGGCACACATGTCCGTCAGACCTTCATAAGGCATAAAATGAATAAAAATAATAATTATTAGGGAAAAAAAATAGCAATAAGTCTCATTAAGGTTGGTTGGTTTGCTGAGAAGTGCAATGGATATCTGCTCAAAATGTTCCTTCCTATGAAATTATAATATTTAAGTAGTTTTACTGCACAGTAATGCAAAGAGTCAGCTCAAATGATATTATAATACATTGAAACTGTTCTAATTTTTGAATTAAAGTGAAACTAAAAATGAAAATGACTAAATGTTTTCCTTCAGAGTTTGGCTAAAATGTTCATAATAATCCGGTTAAGGATGACCCTGTCTGAGACCATATCAAATCTAAGGTTATTTTACTGTACACTTCTGGAGAAAATTAATGGGAAAGTTAGTTCACTTTACTTTCTAAAATTCATAATTTCCTCATGTTTTCAGAATCAGAAATACTTAATTGATCCATGAGGAAAAATTTTGATTCATTACAGGTGCTCCGATGTAAAGAATAGAGAACTATAAGAAGTAAGAAAGGGGTATGAAAAAGAAGTATGTAAACATAAGTAATAAAATTCAATAAAATAGAAATAAATATGAATTATGCTACAATGTTTAACAATAGTACTTAACATATTAGGAATAAAATATATATCTCCTCACTGTGCTGAGTCTGTAATGTCGTTAAAAAAAGAAATCCTCATAGGTTTGTTGAAAGTCTTCTTCAGGATGACGCCAACTATGACCAAGTCAAATTTAAAGTAATTTTTCTTACTCCAAACTAAACTGTTCAGCTCTGACTATGCACTCAGTGACGAAGCAGGCAGTAAGAGAGGCAGACTAAAGGAGATCAAAAAGGACCTGTTCAATTCAGAGAAGCTCAAAACATATTTTGAGGACAACCCCAGATATCTGCATCTGCTCAGACACAGCAGGGACCCCCATCCTTCTGTTGTCAAACACCACTTAAGGAAGGTACCCGATTGCCTTGTTCCAGAGACATTAAAAGTGTTGTGAATCTGCTGTCACACCAGAAGAGGAAGTTAAAAATTCAAAACCAGCCAGAGTCGTCACGAGCAGTTTCAAGAAGAACATCCAGGTGAAGTACAAGACAAAGATAATAAGAATGGACTCTGTATGAAATGGGCTGTTAAAGCTTTGTGGCCCATGGATTAAATGGACAAAATGGATGAAATGGGCGATGAACGCTGACTTTTATGAACTTTGAGACGAGTGGAAAATGCAAGAAACATCAGTTTGAAGTTGGATTTCGTCAAACCTGATATAACGTATAATACAGTATCAGGAATACAGTATGTGTATCATCTCTTTTCTAATGCAACTGTTCTGGTAACATTGAAAAGGGGCAGCAGTAGCTTAGGAAGCAGAACAGGTCATCCACTAATTGGAAGATTGGCAGTTCGATCCCCAGCTCCTCCATACCACATGTTGAAGTATTCTTGGGCAAGATGCAGAACCCCAAATTGGTCCCAATGGCTGTGTGAGAGCATGTGAATGGTTACTGAGTAGCAGGTGGCACCATGTATGGTAGCCTTGGCCACCAGTGTGTAAATGTATGTGTGAATGGGTGAACGTGACTCGTAGTGTAAAAGCCCTTTGAGTGCTTGGAAGACTAGGAAAGCGCTATTAAAGTGCAGTTCATTTACCATTTACCATTTTTTGTAATTGTTGTGATGTCATCAGGTTAGCCTTGGTGTTGGAAATTACATTTGATTTTAACTTTTTGATGTTTGATATAAATCTTTTTTGTTTAATGTCTTTAAGTACATTTGAGCTTGATGCATAAGATGAAGATAGTTTTCACATATTAAATTCTGCCCTCTTGTCCTGTGTCTCCTCTGTAGCCACGAACTCTGAAGGCAGAGAGATTTACCTGAGGGATATCTGGCCGTCACGGGAAGAGATCCAGGCTGTGGAGAGAACGTTTGTCATCCCATCAATGTTCAAAGAAGTCTATGAGAAGATTGAGGTAGTGTAATCTGTAGTCTGTTGGCAAGAAAATTGGCAAGCAAGTGTTCCTACAGTGTGATGTAGATGTGTGATTGACTGAATCTTCTTACTGTGTTGTATTGTTGCAGAAAGTGAATGAGCGCTGGAACTCTCTGGTTGCTCCATCTGACAAACTCTATACATGGGACCCCAATTCAACCTACATAAAGTCACCACCTTTTTTTGATGGTTTGGTAAATATATATACAGTAATTCAAACATCTTCCCAAAATAATGCAACTGCTGTAGTTACTTAAGGCCAAGGCTGCCATTATTAAAACAGAGTCCTTTAGTGTTAAAAACTAATGATAATAATTTTACCAGAAGTGTGGGAACCAGGAAATATCAAATTTTAAGAGTTTTATAATAAAGTAACTGTAGTCATTTAGGCTAACACAATGGTACAAGTGTCTTTTCAGTTTAAGCTACTAAACGTTCAGTTGTGTTTGCATAAGTTATGAAGCATTAAGCTGAAAACACAGCTGTACCACAGTGGCATGGCATGTCATGTAACACATATCAAGTGCTGCCCCAGCATGCACTAGATGCATCACGCTGCAGCTCATCAACAGACGACCACACAAAGTTATTACTACTTTAACTGAAAGATCTGTACCTCTTCCACCTCTGCATTAGCTTAAAATCGTGTGTGGAGAGCCCTTAATTAAACTTTATTTCTCACCTGAAGAGCTGGGGCCGTATTCACAAACATTCTGAGAGTATTCTCAGAGAGCTCCTAACTTAGCCTAAAAACTTTTAGGAAGGAGTCCTAGCTTAAGGGTGATTTAGGAAAGTTCTCAGAGTAACTCTGAGTGAGGAAGGGTCAGAAACTTTTATCTTAGTGAAGAGAAGTGGTTGACCCTGTTGCTAGGTATGATGCACCCTTTTAACAGACGTGATTGGTTGTCAAAGACACGCCCTTTTGTGAGCCTGCAAGTTGTAGACACCCAGTGGAAATGAAATGCACTGCAGCATGAGACTGTGAAAGTCTTGTCATTGTTCATGTGATCACTCTGCTGATGGAAGGCTGAAACAGACCCAAGTCATCACTGCTGCACTGTTGCCTTTTTTCTAGTTTTCCAAATATCTTAGTGTTGTGATCATTTTATTTCTAGCATTATAACATTAGGTGTGAAATATATGCATATCTCTAATGAGATTGACCACACGCATTATCCCAGCATGATCTAATTTGTGACATTTCATTGACTCACTGCCATCGAGTGTTTGGAGAATATTTCTCCAACCTCTTTGTGTTTCCACCATTTTCTCCTCTGATTAAGAAGCTCTTAAGTCTCTTAAAAGTCTAAGATGCTCCGTGAATAACTTTTATTTTTACAAGGACTTAGTCTTAACTTTAAGGATACGTTCTGAGAAAACATCATAATTCTGAGAATTTTTGTAGAATTTTGTCTCTAGGAGCAACTCTTAGTGCTAGGAAGCTTTGTGAAAACGGCCCCTGATCTCCAGAGCACCAGGAAGTATTTTTTGACTATTGTCTTTACAATCACAGCATTGTGAGTCATTTGTAGCACGAGTCATGTGCGCCACTTCACTACTGACCCGTGCGTAAAAGCGCAAACAGTCCCTCAAGGAGAGACAGCCCTGCAGGCAGGGAGAAAGCAGCCCTCGCGAGCTGCTCTCTCTCTCTGCCTGCAGGGCTGTAGGGCTGCAGGCAGGGCTGTCCCTCCTTGAGGCAATGAATGAGGAAATAATCGCCCCGGCATTTAATCGGCACGGCGTTTAATAAGCAAAATGGGGTCAAACCCCCCGTGGCTATTAGGTGCCCGGCGGGTATTTGCCACCGGGCGACTATTTGGAAATGTATGGTATGTGACAATAATCATATGTGTATAATAACAGTAGAAGTGTGACTAATGATAACAGCAGCAGTAGGAGGCATCTGGCAGGACCACGGCAGCTCTTGTAGGCTGAAATCAAGACGATCACATTAACCAGTGCGCAATCATCAGACTTGACAATTATCACGGGAAAACAATCTTTGTTATATCGAGATAATGAGATAATTAATTCGTTATCACGAGGAAAACAATCTTTGTTATGTCGAGATAACGAAATAATAAGTCGTTATCACGAGATAACAGTGCACAAAAAAAAAAGAAATACGTGGCCGTTCTCGTCTTCCGTAATAAGCAAATGGAAAATGGTATTTTTCTTTTTGCTTAAATGTTTAATTTGAATGTTGGCAGCCCTGGACTTTGTTTTACTAAAATTACCCTGACTGCCACCACTACTGGTACTTCTATTTTTACCACAATGGGAACTTCTGTTTGTAACTATTTATTATAATGCTAATAATTCTGGCTATGGCTTTACTGTATGTTGTATCATGATATCTTTATTCAGACAATGGACCTGCAGCCACCCAAGTCCATACATGATGCCTACGTGCTGCTGAACTTAGGAGACTCGGTCACCACTGACCACATTTCTCCTGCAGGGAACATCGCTAGAAACAGCCCTGCAGCACGCTACCTGACCAACAGAGGGTGAGTCACCTCATTGCTTTCAACTGAAAGCAATTAAGTGCTGGCTTTATGCAGGTTTTCTCTCTTGGTTCAATTTTAATGAGCCATTTGAACTTTAAATAGAGTTCAACTAAATGGTAATAGCCTAGAATAAGCTTTTATCTAAATCTATATACCAAATGTCCATGAAAGCTTTCTGCCTCACACTTCCTGTGTTTTAACAGTTTGAGTCCCCGTGACTACAACTCATATGGCTCACGTCGCGGTAACGACGCTGTCATGGCAAGAGGAACGTTTGCCAATATCCGCCTCTTTAACAAGTTCCTCAACAAGCAGGCACCACAAACCATTCACATGCCAACTGGAGAAACGGTTAGTGTACAACACCTCTCTATAACTTCCTAACAGTTATCATGCAGATGTTGTGTTGTTTGACAGAAATTATCGTTGCATTTCAAGAAAATGCTTTTGCATCAGTTGTATTTTTGTCAACAACAATGAAAACTTGGGCTGCATTCACACCAAACAAAAGTGGCCAAAACACCACTCCTTCCATTTATTTGAATGTGAGTAGCATAACCAGGCTGTGGCGTTGGGGCTGTAGGAGAACCAGCGGAATGTGAGGAAAAGCTGAAACAGAATTGACTTTTGGAGAAATGCAATCTGACATCACACTGTGGTGGCCAATCATATAACCATTGATCAGACTGAAAGACACCTGCAGTCCATGGTTACAAGTAATAGAGTCTACTTCTATTGTTAAATATTAATGAGTTCTATAAATAACATTGAGGGTTGTTAATAACATTGATTGACTTATCGACCTATCGACGGACACCGACACAAACACTTAAAGGAATCATGGTGTTCATGTCTTTCTTTTAATGACAGCAGTCAGTACAACAACTGAACAATTATTTGAAATGTACATTGGACTAAACATCATTGTTGGGGGCAGGGCGCCCTCCTAATATAATGGTAGGGGAAACACTGCTTCTGGGACAACATATCATCCAGCAAAACTAGTTATCATGACAGGCCTATGTGTGTACTGTGTGTGTACACATTTGTCAGCACATTAAAGCCACCACAGTAATGATAATGGAAAATGAGTTCTACAGATCTTTTAAGCCACAAGTTATTTACCAAAGACAAATATTCGCTGAGGAGCTGGTTTTCAATAATTGGTTTCCCCCCTCCACTCCCCCACAAATGGGCCACTTAAGTGACACTCCCACACTAACCCTGCAGCAAATTGTCGCAACGGCTGATTTGGTGTAAATACAACCTCATGCATGCCGCTTCTGTTCAAGCTTCAAGCAAAGACCTTTTGCTTGACCTCTCTCAGGAACTGTTGTATATTTGTCCCTGTTTGTCCAGCTGGATGTGTTTGATGCTGCAGAGAGATATCAGCAGTCCGAGACCCCTCTGCTGGTCCTCGCAGGGAAGGAGTATGGCTCAGGCAGCTCCAGAGACTGGGCTGCAAAGGGCCCCTTTCTACTGGTGAGGGTCACTTCTTTATACGCAGTTAAAGAAAATACATACTATTTTGTAAACAATATTAAGCTAGAATTAGAATGATGGGGATGCTTTGTTTGTTTGGTTTTTTTTGACACAAAAAACATGCAGTTTGTTCTGCATGTTAGAAAACTTGTTACCATGGAGATATGACGAACAGAGACTTAAATAGTGGATGAGACTTTCTGCTGAAATGGTTGCAGTATAATTTAGTTTTTCAAAGGTGCTGACAGCATGTGATATGATAATACATAATTTTGGGCTTTATTGTAACTGCTGGTCTTAAATTAATAGTCTGTATGTCCATGATACATGAATGAAAATACATAAAATAAAGCATACAGATGAATTGATAAATTCAGTCAGAACATTTGGAAAAGAAAGTTGCAGAATTTTCCATATTGGTATCGGTTATTGGCCAAATGAGCTGTTATACAATGGCATGTCAGATATTGGCAAAAAATCCCTTCAGAAGAGAGAAAGAAGAGCGCTAAACAATAATTGAGAACATGCGACCTTGTTAGAGTAGCGCCAGCAATTTTCCAACTACTGAGAATTTGGTCAAACAAGAGCTAAACAACCAACCAGTCGACTAACTGACCAGAAGTTTACAGCCCTAGTGCTTTGGTCAGATGTGTTTTAAAGTGTCAAGACTGAACCTTTTTGTTTTTGTATTTAGGGTATAAAGGCAGTTTTGGCAGAGAGCTATGAGCGGATCCACCGCAGTAACCTGGTTGGGATGGGGGTGATTCCCCTGGAGTATCTCCCAGGAGACACTGCTGACAGCTTGGGACTGACCGGCCGAGAGCGCTACACCATCGTCATCCCCGAGCAGCTCACACCTAGGATGATGGTAGATGTGAAGGTTCGTTAAAGACACTTAAGTGTAGAACTGGGACATCTTTGCACTGCTGAGGTGATGTGATACTTGATGTTGTCTCTCTCTGCCCTCGCAGCTTGACACAGGAAAAACATTCCAAGTGCGGATGAGGTTTGACACCGACGTGGAGCTGGCATATTTCCACCATGGAGGAATCCTCAACTACATGATCCGCAAGATGTCTGAAAACTAACGTGCCAAGTACAGTACAGAGCGAGAGCAACGTGCCATCCCTGTAACTCTCAGCTACAGTCCAACATGGCAACACCATAGTGAGTTCATGTCAACTGTTGACAGAAGAATAGCGTCCAAAAGTAATCCAATCATTGTCCATGTACGGTGGAAAGAGCCTTTTACAGACAGTTATCACTATGTTCTCATTTTTGAGAATGCTGCTACTTGTTTTATTTACATAGCAAAGCTGGGGGGAGTATATATGAGATGTGGATATTTAATTAAGATATGCAAGATTAGATGATGTTAAAGAGTTAGAAAGTAGAGATGCATCAATCGATCAGCTGGTGACCAGCATCCGCCAATTTTCAGCTTGATCAGTCGTAACTGATGACCAGCTGGTCAGTCTCAGATATATAGGATCCTAATCCAAACAGATTTACATGCATGTGTGACACATTGTTAAACGTCGCACATACAGTGGCACAGACACTAACCAACTATTGTCACAGCTTCTGCCACCCATTTCCATTTCCACTTCATCAAATACAGGTGCTTCGTCACGCCCCATCATTAGTGACTTTTCTGACCTTCTTCTTTGAGTATTTATAGATCTGTTGCTCCTGTTCTCTTTTGGGAAAGTGAAACACATGAGACAAAGTGGGATATACTGCAGATGGATTTGATTCATACAAAGGTTTGTGCAGTAACCGGAGCACTTTTTATTTAGAGTCTGAGTGAGAGAGCATCCTCTAACCTGCTGCAGTTTGGGAGAAAATGTAAAAGGTATTTAATTGTCAGTGTTTTATTAACGACATACAGTTAAATTTTCTATAAAGATACATACCCTCTGCAGTTGTAAATAAAAGCCCTGCCAATATGTGTGAATTTTAATTCATTTATATCCTCCATTATGAAAAAATAGCATTCTTTGGTAGCCTGATGCTAATGGCAGTACTCACCGGGTTGTTAAATTGTCTCTGTTTGTGTTCGTCTGTCTGCATGATATCTCAAGACGGCTCCAGGGAATCTCTTCAAATTTGGCACAAATATCCACTTGGGCTCAACGATGAACCGATTAGATTTTGGTGGTCAAAGATCAAGGTCACTGTGACCTTGTCTGCCTCATTCTCGTGAACACGATATCTCAAGAACACCTTGAGGGAATTTCTTCACATTTGGCACAAACATCACTTGAACTGAATAGAAAACAGATTAGAATTTTGTGGCAGAAAGTCAAAGTTCAAGGTCAGTGTGACCTCACATAACATGTTTTTGGCCATAACTTAATAATTCATTTGCAAATAATGACAACAGCTTCACACAAAGGTGTAATGGAATGAAATAATGAAGTGATGACATTTTATATCCCAAAGGTCAGCTTTCACTATGACATAATGTTCTGCAAAAACAACAGCACTTTTCTGGCCATTATTAACCGTCATATCTCAGGAACAGAAGGGGAAGTATTTGGTCAGATACTAAATTGGTGACGCTCATCTTGAAACTGTGCTGGTTGAATAGATCTGTGTGTGAAGTATCCATGTTTTCACAGACGTGGATATAAACTGTAAGAGAAACTTGTGGGTGTAGGCATACAACTGAAACATGCCAGACTTTCTGTCGGGATGTCGTGAGGTGTTCCAAATGCAGCATTGATTGTTGTCTATGATGACACACTACATGAGATAAAACGATGGATTGTCACACACAACACTCATTGTCGTTCACAATCTGAGCCAACCCAGTACGACGCCACGTCAGGCTATAATTGGGCTGATATCCTGTAGTCTAAACCCAGCATTACAGTTTCAGGAAGAGATAAAATAGGTATCACCCAAAATCGGAATCGGAAGGTCAGACTTTAAAAATTGGAAATCGGAAACGTCCAAGAAAATTGGTGCATCTCTATGAAAAAAAGGGGGGGGAGGCACTACTTTTGTTTTGAGTTTGAGCTGAGCCAAGGCAAAGGACTACCACTCTACAGTGTGGGTCTTTATTTTTTTCAGTTTTGATGACATTTAACTGCTGCTCTATAGCTGGGTTTAAAGATGTGTACCTTGAAGGTACCAACTGGTACGACAGCACAAAGTAGTGAAAATGTCAGACTGTCAGTGAGTACTACATACTGATACTTCAGAGAGTAATCCTGTCAATCTCAAGTCATAAATTCTGTCCTCCCCAGCAGTATCTGCAGTGTTTGCATTCTTTCATATCAGCAAGATGTTTCACCTTATTTCATTAGTGAACATTCCGCTCTGTTGCCATATCTACATAGTTTCATTCCCTGATAATACAGCAGGTTTACCGTGGAGATGTGTGTTATTGAAAAGGAAAAGATAACTGTGTCTCTGCCGACATCAGAAAACACAAGCAGCCAATCACAGTAGGCACAGTAGCCTCAATGTATTCTCACAAAACTGCATAACTTCTGACACATGTAGCCAGCACAGGTAAAGTTAACCTCTGATGCACAAGTAGAAATCCAACATAGCAAGACAGTGTGAGGAGTGTATCCAACACCCTACATCTTTCGTTGCCATGGCCAGATAAAGGTCCCTGTTGAGTTTTTAGTAGCCCTGTAGAGAAATGTTTTTTGTGTGCCCCATTTTGTTAGCACAAGGAGATGATGTGATACACATTTCAGCCAATGGTTTGATACTTCTCTACTGATCAGCAGGTGGCAGTGGTTTGCTGAGATATGCAACACAATAGCAGGGAATAGGAAGGTTGATGTAAACAGTGCAGGTGTCAAACTATTCTAGTGAGTAATGCTGAATGAAAACTCCACGGAGCGCCTTAAATTGCTGCTCATATCATCATCTGCAGCCATGCAGAGTGCACTGTTCTGCTATGATAAGAGTGAAACCTAACTGTAGCTGTTAAAAGATTTGGTCTGAGGCTGAACTCAAGCATCCATTCCTTCCCCTGTGGCACCTTCCAAGGGCTGGATTAACACTCATGTTGATTCTGGTTTTATGCCTTCACGCTGGCAGTGGCCGTGACCAGAGGCATTCTGCTTTCAGGTCGTCCATCCCTCCCATTATTGTGAAGCCAGTATCTCTAGAACAAATGGAGGGAATTTTCTCAAATTTGGCACAAAAAGTCCACTTCGGCTCAAAAATGAACTTCCTAGAATTTGGTGGTTTAGGGTCAAGGTCAGGGTCACTGTGACCTCACAATAACTCAATAATTCATTTGTTAATCACAACAAATTTTCACACAGTTGTTTAATAGGATAAAATGATGAAGTGATCAAGTGAAGTGATGGTCAAAGGTCACTGTGACCTTGCATCTGTTGCATTGTCATAAACACAATATTTAAAGAACACCTTGAGGGAATTTCTTCAAATTTGGCATAAACATTCACTTGGACTCAGCAATAAACTGGTTAGATTTTGGTGGTCATAGATCACTTTGACCTTGTATCCTTCTCAGTCTTATGAACGCTGTATCTTGAAAATGACTCGAGGAATTTTCCTCAAATTTTGCACAAACGTCCACTTGGGAGTCAAAAATGAACTGACCAGAATTTGGTGGTCAAAGGTCAAGGTCACTGTGACCTCACAAAATGTTTTGAGCTGTAACTCAAGAATTCATTTGATATTAGTATTCACACATAGCTTCACACAAATGTCTAATAGGATTAAATGATAAAGTGATGACATTTTGTATCCAGAAGATCAATGGTCAGCTTCTCTGTGACATCATAATGTTCTGCAAAAACACTTTTCTGGCCATTATTATACATCATAACTCAGAAACAGAAGGGAAGACATTTGGTCAAATACTGAATTGGTAAAACGAATCTCACTAACCTGGGCTGATTGTATAGATCAGTGATTCCCAATTTGTGGATCACGGTCCAGAAGTGGGTCATTTTGAATAGACCACAAGTGACTCGCGAACATGTCAAGTTTGTAAAAAACATAATTTATTTTGACGTACAGTGAATTTCCAGCACAGAGCTTATAATTTGAAGTGCCGTTTCCTGCTGTAGAGTGAGTGACTAACGGACAGCTACTTGACAGAGAAAGCAAACTAGCTTGACGTGATGGCATAACTTAAATATGACGCTGAATGTATTAAACTGTATGGACCTTGAACTAAAGACTAATGAGAAATCTGGACCCTGTGGCTTGACCAGTTGGGAACCACTGGTATATATCTTCAGTGCTTCCGAGAGGAAGATGTGTGCAAAGCATCCACTTTACCTGCAACTTTACTGGTAATTGTAGTTAACAGTGACAATGAGAAGCAGATAAACCACCGGACCGAGTAGTAGTAGTACAGAGTAGAGGTGTCAATAAAGTCCTAACAATGCCCATCTCTTGTTAAAAATGATAAAAAGACCCATGTTGTAATAATTCAGAAGTCCTCTTTTAAAGCAAGAATTGTGTAGTGATTTTAAAGTTTATCCTTAACATTGTTAAAGAATCAGCTTTTTTTATGTGGACAAGAAGTTCTTGAAGTGCTCAGAAAAAAAAATAAACATTTGGTTATCTGATGTGGAAGAGCTTGTGATAAAAGCTCCTGAGAAGCTACAGCATGGACCCTGTGTGGATGTCATCAGGGATTATGTTGGTGATAATATGATATTATTGATGGTGCTGGACCAGTGAATCATAAAGGAAGATATTTGGCTTGACTAGACTGAGAGTGGACTATTATTGTGGTTACTCCTTCAGCGAAACCCTCTGTGGTGAAATACCGTATCACAATAATGGTTACCTTCTATCGCACACCGTTCAGCTGTTTCCTCTTCAGGTTGTCGTCTTATTCATAATCATTTTCATGTTTCTCTTCATCTTACAGTCAAGAAAACATACCTGTTTGTTCTTCGCTCATTCCAAGCTTTGATTGTAAATCTGCTTATGTTTTTGTTATTGACTGCCTTAATAACTGCATATGTGATCGTCCTGATTTAAAGCTGTTTGAGTCTTTTTGCCCTTTTATCCTGAAACACTAATCATTTTGATTCTGAAGACTGACAAATGTTCATGTTCATTATACTGTCTGAATGCATTGTCTGCAAGTCATAGATTACTGAAAACATAATAAAAACTGTTTTTTTTTTTGTAATTTTTTTCTGTCCTTAGAGTTCTTAGATTGTGTTTTAACTATTTATTTTAAGGATTATTTTTTTGGGGCTTTTTGCCTTTACTGAAACAGGACAGAGTGAAATGGGGTGAGAAAGAGAGTGGGGGTTGACATGCAGCAAAGGGTTGCAAGCCGGAGTTGAACCTGCGACTGCTGCAGCAAGGTATCGCCTCTGTACATGGGGCGCCGGCACTATCCACTACACTACCGATGCCCCAACTGTATTTTTTCTAAGACAGGGAAATTAGAGATGTGCATCAGGTTAGTCAGCTTGAAGATCATGGTTTTCTGCACAGAACTTCAAACACTATTACGAGACTACATTGGAATGCTTTTTTTAACACACTGGGGAATATGAGCCTTAAAATAGTCCCCAGAGCTCTGAAATTCCAAAAAATGAACTGCCGGCTGTTTTTACTCTGCTGGCACCAATCCTAGATTACCCTCAAAGAATTGTCCTAAGTTTGGAGATAAAGTGAGCTTTTAAACCACTCTCCAACTCTATCTGCAGTCCAAATATTTAAACAGGTAGGAGAAATGAGAGCTTTGTGGTCGGCTAGGTTGTCTCTGATGTACCTTCATACAAAAGCAGTAGCCATGGAGTCAAATCTGCTGGGGGGGTCTGACAGCAGGGGTGTAAATACAGACAGTGCAGGCAGTGTGATTGCACTGGGGCCCCTGGGGTGGAGGGGCCAGTAGAGAGATCGGGCCCCTGCAAGTGATTCAGATTGCCACCTTGGAAATATACCTGTGTTCAAATAAAAATTATAAAAAAAAAAAGAATATTAATAATCTAAAAATGATGCCATTTGCTCTATATGTGTCTCAAACTCAAATGTGTCATGGTTTTCTATTTTCTTTTTACTTTTTGAAATAGTAGCTATCTAAAACAAAGTGATATGCTTTTTTTCTATATAAGCTATAAAATCTATAAATACACCATAAAAAGTATCCAATTAAATGATTAGAGGCCTACTTTCTTTGAGATTTTTGTCAGATATGTATGATGATTGCTGGGTAGTATGCCTTTTGATGTTGTACAATGTCAAGTATCTAAACTAAGCACAAAAAGCAAGGAAATTTGTGTTTGGTAGATTATTTCTTTGTTGTAACAATGCTTCTTGGCAATTAATCTTATACCGTTGGAAAGCCTGTTTATTTCCCAAATTTTTCATGGGCGCAACCCACATACTCAGCCCTGCTGCTCATCCCACAACTGCATGTTCCTTACAAATGTGGCACCATTTAAAAGGGAAATAAACAGGCTTTCCAATGGTATATGAATGACTGCCAAGAAGCATTGTTACAAAGAAATAATCTACCAAACACAAATTTCCTTACTTTTTGTGCTTAGTTTATTTGTGTCAAGACAATACTTGCACAATAGCTTGCACTGGGGTCTATCATAACTGACTTGCACCACTGTCTGACCCTTTTTTTTAGCAACAACTGATGGGAACTCCCATCACCAAAACCACTTACAACTTCTGCCTCACTATTGATAACTCTACTCTGCATTCCTCCCCACACATCTGTAACCATGGAGTTATTTTCGACAACAACCTCATTTATGGTAATTGGACTGCACTTAAATAGCGACTTTCTCGTCATCTGACCACTTAAAGCGCTTTTTCCACTATCACATTCATCCATTCACACACACACACATTCATGGCCGAGGCTGCCATAGTAGGTGCTACCCTCTACTCAGTTTTTTTAAACACTCACACACGGATGGAACAGCCACAACCACAGGGGCACCTCAGTGGCACAGGAAACACCAGGCTTCCACGGAGGATACCATATCCACCATGCTTCACTCGGTCCTGTCTCACCTTGACCGCACACCTACACCAGGATCCTGTATGGACTTAAGTTCAGTGTTTAACACCATCATTCCCCAGAGACTAACAGATACATTGCTTCAACTCGTCGTTAACACCACCACCTGTCTCTGTATCCTGGACTTTCTGACTGAGAGACCTCAGCCAGTCCGAGTTGGCAACATGACCTCCAACACAATATGCTGCGCACAGGATGCCCTCAAGGTTGTGTACTAAGCCCTTTGATGTTTACACTGCTTAAAC